ATCATTCGCACTTCGTGCACACATCGTTCACACACCGTGCACACATCGTGCGCACACCGCACATCGTATAACGTTGTGCGATCCCACAACTGTAGCAACACTTTGGACATTTTGGTCATATAGAATATTTTTTTGAAATATATCTCAACGGAAAGAATATCAAATCAACAGCTGCAGCGTTCGTTTGATCCAGCTTGTATACTAGTATCAATCCTCACAGCTAATGTCTTTCCTTTGTAGTTATCTGGATAAAACACACTGACGGACCTTAAGCTTGCCGACCAATGAATGTCTCTTACATAAATTAAGACGATTTTTTTTATTTCTATTAATCAATGATAACCAAAATGGGGAAGAGAGACAGAGTATTCCTAACTTAGAATATGTAAAATGGCAAGTTGATCTAAAACTGGAGGGTTGTTTTTGTTCGCTCTACGGTTTTGCAAAAGCGACAATACCCTCAGAAAACGATATTATTAAATATATTAAGTGTAACACAGCAGCCGTAATCGCTCGTAATTGTTTGTCAAAATCATTGTTTATTCATAGACGTTGATACAAAATCTCATTACAAGTACATGTTCAATAGGTAACAATAGCTTATCTACGTGTACGTTAAGTAATATACACCTGGCAAGGTAAAGCTGGACAGTTATTCGTTATTTGTTATTCTGAATAACGAATAACTGTCCAACTTTATTTTGCTTATAAACTTGCAACTTCCGCGTTCTGTCTTAAATCATCAAAGCAATCTTCCTGACATTTTGACATGTTCCTTCTCGTGGCCAAATCCAGACCTTGTGTCGATCAAACCTGTCCCGGTTGTATACTAAATCACTGAATCGTTAAATGGTGAACATCGGTCACTATATATAGCCCCCAGCTCTTGAGTTATACCAGGAACTAATTTGTGGTATGCCTGTCATACAATATACCCACGGGTCAAACATTTCACAGGTATGTCGTTCTAAGAGGTGTTAACACCCCTAAGATAAATTAAACCCATTACTTGATTAAATCAACTTTTGGGTAGAGATGACTTTGTCACAGAAGCTAAATAATCAATCTACTCTAAACGGACCCCACCAATTACCAAGGAATTCATAAAAAATATAGGAATCACCAATCCTGCTGATAAAATCTACAATATCGTTCTCCGCTCTAGAGATCAATTCAAAAGAATTTTTTTTTTTGCACAAATCTTTGACAATAATTGTGTAGGTATTTTATGGAGTATCAAATCGTGTATGCATTATAACGAGTATAAACTCATGTTGACATTATACCGGATACATCTAAATATAAAGGTATTATTCCGGGTATATACTCGTGTAGGTATAATACCTGATATATCTAAATATGTAGGTATTATACCTGATAGATTTGATTGTGTAGGTATTATACCTCGTATATCTATTAGTTTAGGTATAATACCTGGTATATCTAATAATTTAGGTATTATACCTGATATATCTAATAGTTTAGCTATAATACTGATAAATATAATAGTTTAGGTATTATATCTGGTATAAATGTATCTAATAGTTTAGGTATAATACCTGGTATATCGTATAGTTTAGGTATAATACCTGGTATATCAAATAGTGGAGGTATTGTACCTGGCATATCTAATAGTTAAGGTATTATACCTGGCATATCTAATAGTTTAGGTATTATACCAGGCATATCTAATAGTTTAGGGATTATACCAGGCATATCTAATAGTTTAGGAATTATACCAGGCATATCTAATAGTTTATGTATTATACCAGGCATATCTAATAGTTTAGGGATTATACCAGGCATATCTAATAGTTTAGGTATTATCCCAGGCATATCTAATAGTTTAGGTATAATACCTGGTGTATCGTATAGTTTAGGTATAATACCTGGTATATCGTATAGTTTAGGTATAATACCTGGTATATCTAATAGTTTAGGTATAATACCTGGTATATCTAATAATTTAGGTATTATACCTGATATATCTAATAGTTTAGCTATAATACTGATAAATATAATAGTTTAGGTATTATATCTGGTATAAATGTATCTAATAGTTTAGGTATAATACCTGGTATAAATTTATCTAATAGTTTAGGTATTATACCTGATATATCTAATAGTTTAGCTATAATACTGATAAATATAATAGTTTAGGTATTATATCTGGTATAAATGTATCTAATAGTTTAGGTATAATACCTGGTATATCGTATAGTTTAGGTATAGTACCTGGTATATCGTATAGTTTAGGTATAGTACCTGGTATATCGTATAGTTTAGGTATAATACCTGGTATATCGTATAGTTTAGGTATAGTACCTGGTATATCGTATAGTTTAGGTATAGTACCTGGTATATCGTATAGTTTAGGTATAATACCTGGAATATCAAATAGTGGAGGTATTGTACCTGGAATATCTAATAGTTAAGGTATTATACCTGTCATATCTAATAGTTTAGGTACAATACCTGCTATATCTAATAGTCGAGGTATTGTACCTGGCATATCTAATAGTTTAGGGTTAATACTTGTTATATCTAATAGTTTAGGTATTATACCAGGCATATCCAATAGTTTAGGTATTATACCAGGCATATCTAATAGTTTAGGGATTATACCAGGCATATCTAATAGTTTAGGAATTATACCAGGCATATCTAATAGTTTATGTATTATACCAGGCATATCTAATAGTTTAGGAATTATACCAGGCATATCTAATAGTTTAGGGATTATACCAGGCATATCTAATAGTTTAGGGATTATACCAGGCATATCTAATAGTTTAGGTATAATACCTGGCATATCTCATAGTTAAGGTATTATACTTGTTATATCTAATAGTTTAGGTATATTACCTGGTAAAGCTAATAGTTTAGGCATTATATCTGGTATAAATGTATCTAATAGTTTAGGTATAATACCTGGTATAAATTTATCTAATAGTTTAGGTATTATACCTGATATATCTAATAGTTTAGGTATATTACCTGGAATATCTAATAGTTTAGGCATTATACCTTGCATATCTAATAGTTTAGATATTATGCCTGGTATATCAAATAGTGGAGGTATTGTACCTGATATATCTAATAGTTTAGGTATATTACCTGGTATATCTAATAGTTTAGGCATTATACCTTGCATATCTAATAGTTTAGATATTATGCCTGGTATATCAAATAGTGGTGGTATTGTACCTGGCATATCTAATAGTTTAGGTATTATACCTGGCATATCTAATAGTTTAGGTATTATACCTGGCATATCTAATAGTTTAGGTATTATACCTGGCATATCTAATAGTTTAGGTATTATACCTGGCATATCTAATAGTTTAGGTATTATACCTGGCATATCTAATAGTTTAGGTATTATACCTGGCATATCTAATAGTTTAGGTATTATACCTGGCATATCTAATAGTTTAGGTATTATACCTGGCATATCTAATAGTTTAGGTATTATACCTGGCATATCTAATAGTTTAGGTATTATACCAGGCATATCTAATAGTTTAGGTATAATACCTGGCATATCTAATAGTTTAGGTATAATACCTGGTATATCAAATAGTGGTGGTATTGTACCTGGCATATCTAATACTTTAGGTATTATACCAGGCATATCTAATAGTTTAGGTATTATACCTGGCATATCTTATAGTTTAGGTATAATACCTGGTATATCAAATAGTGGTGGTATTGTACCTGGCATATCTAATACTTTAGGTATTATACCAGGCATATCTAATAGTTAAGGTATTATACCTGGCATATCTAATAGTTTAGGTATAATACCTGGTATATCAAATAGTGGTGGTATTGTACCTGGCATATCTAATACTTTAGGTATTATACCAGGCATATCTAATAGTTAAGGTATTATACCTGGCATATCTAATAGTTTAGGTATAATACCTGGTATATCAAATAGTGGTGGTATTGTACCTGGCATATCTAATACTTTAGGTATTATACCAGGCATATCTAATAGTTAAGGTATTATACCTGGCATATCTAATAGTTTAGGTATAATACCTGGTATATCAAATAGTGGTGGTATTGTACCTGGCATATCTAATACTTTAGGTATTATACCAGGCATATCTAATACTTTAGGTATTATACCAGGCATATCTAATAGTTTAGGTATAATACTTGTTATATCTAATAGTTTAGGTATTATACCTAGTATATCTAATAGTTTAGGTATTATACTTGTTATATCTAATAGTTTAGGTATAATACCTGGCATATCTAATAGTTTAGGTATTATACCAGGCATATCTAATAGTTAAGGTATTATACCTGGCATATCTCATAGTTAAGGTATTATACTTGTTATATCTAATAGTTTAGGTATATTACCTGGTATAGCTTATAGTTTAGGCATTATATCTGGTATAAATGTATCTAATAGTTTAGGTATAATACCTGGTATAAATTTATCTAATAGTTTAGGTATTATACCTGATATATCTAATAGTTTAGGTTTATTACCTGGTATATCTAATAGTTTAGGCATTATATCTGGTATAAATGTATCTAATATTTTAGGTATAATACCTGGTATAAATTTATCTAATAGTTTAGGTATTATACCTGGTATAAATGTATCTAATAGTTAAGGTATAATACCTGGTATATCTAATAGTTTAGGTATTATACCTGGTATATCTAATAGTTTAGGTATAATACCTGGTATATCTAATAGTTTAGGTATTATACCTGGTGTATCTATTAGTTTAAGTATAATACCTGGTATATCTAATAGTTAAGTAATTATACCTGGTATATCTAACAGTTTAGGTAATGGTAGAAATATGCCAATTTAGATATACGTTATAGAAATCTAACAAAACAGATGAGTTTGATCACCATACTAATGTTCTGCGTCTGCGCAGTGTCGCATACGATGGCGTTACTCCACCCAGGTGGATATGAGTCAACTATACAGAATATACCTGTAGTGATATATAGCGGCCTCTGGAGGAATAAGGTCGAACGGTAAACTTACAAGATATATTTGGTCAAACGAAAACGAGATATACTGGTACAATAAATAGAAAATGTAGCAGAGGCAGTTAGTGTGATACACGTATGTCGGACGCGCTTGGAGAGAACATATATAGCGGATGTACTTCCTGTAGGCGATAGTCTGATCAACTAAATTGGGAAATATCCGACGTACTTTTGGTAAGTGTTTGCTTTCTTTTCATATTAAAGCATAGTTTCTACTACATTTTATTTCATTGTGATAAAACTCATGACGCGTTTGTAGAAAAAAACATGTACAATTTTTAATCGGAGTGGCTATTGACACTCGGGCTAGATATGCAGAAAACGGTATGCCGGGTAGCGGATTGCGGAAAGTTTTCATGTGGCGATAGTAATTGTGCGTAGACGGTTGTGCATATCCGGATAGGACCAAGAACGATAAATGTAAGCTTTGGTCTTCAATAAAACTAAGTGAATGGATTATTGATTTAATTTAACAATGTATATCAGTATATACACTTAAGAAAACTTAATTAGGTACTTATCATTACAATTTATAATTCGTTGTTGCTAGGTGTTTCGAATGGCCGAGTAAGAGGACGCATGGTTGTTAGGATAGACTACCGGAATGTTTGAAAACGGCATTTCTATTGGATTGCCAAGTTGTCATTATATAATTTAAATCTAAGCTGCAAAATTATTTGTGAAAGTGATATGTTTCAGTTTTTGTTTTGATATTCGCAGTATCGTAAAGTAAACATCACACGGTTAACTACGTCGACGTAACTTAATGTTGTTGTCATGGTCGACTTTTCCGAGATATCGTTGTGCCTTTGTTTGCTTACATAAGAAGCAATGTAGAAGCAAAATGTTGAAATTTACAGCTTCATGAAGGTAAAAGATGAGCATGTTTTGTTGTGGTTTTTGAAGTGTACACTCTAAAATATTATGTATGGCAGGTGTATTTTTTCTGTTTTTTTTCTTTCTTGTGTATATGAACAGGATATGGCAGCCTTACTGATCCTTGCACGAGTGACATCTATATAAATATATATCAGGACTTAAATCCGCGAAAATATACTACAGGATATAAAAAAAATCAAATTAAAATGTTTCTTTAAAAGCTAATTTAGTCATTCCAATGATTTTGTACCACTATTGGACAGCGAATACTGTAAATATTCAGTATTTTGAAAAATATTGATTTTCCTTCAAAAATTACACATTTTTCCCAATTTTCTAAGGTGAAAATTGTCAAATTCCTTAAGAAACAAAATATTCAGATATATCTTCAAACTTGACACTTATTCCACTTAGTGGACAAATATTTAGTCTGAACCTAGTTGAAATCTCGCAATTTTAAGGTTTGTTAAGTTATTACAAGTTGTAATATACCAGCTTATACTGGAGATTTTTTTGTTTTTACAAAATCGGCAAATTGTCAATTTTTTTCATTAGAAAGATACTTGGTTATCTTCTCTGATTTTGTATGACTTTTTGCATACGGTGCACTGATTGAAAAAAAAAATGATTGGTTATTTTTTTATATTTTTTTATATTAAATTCCAGCATTTTCCAGATTTCCTAAGGTAGAACAGGAAACTGGTCGAGATTCCTACCCTTTACCCATACATGCATAAGAGATAAACTCAATCATAGTTTCTATATTGGTCCAGTGTCTGGATCTCTGAATCCCTCCCAAGGGCTCCCTTCCTTGATCATAATATGGAAAGAGTTGATATCTGTACCTAAAAATCATATATGCAATTGCATTGCATGAACAGATGAATACAGGTATACTCATGTTCATGACTTAATCCAAGGTTTACTACATAGCTGCTATCCATATGTTTGTCATTCAATCCTAGGTCAAGGTCACATTGAGGTCAAAGGTCAGATTTGTTGTCAGAGTCATAAATTTTGACCATTAAAAATATTGTAATAAAATTTAAGGAACATATGTAGGATGGTAAAGTGGTGAATAGGGTTCTACTCTAGGGTCAATACAGTCAAGGTCATGGTCACATTTAGGTCATTGGTCAAATCCATAATCAGAGCCATAACTTTTGAACCTCTGAAGATATCTTAATACAATTTAAGGAATAAATGTAAGATGATAAGCCGAATTGTCGCATACTACTCTAGGGTCAGTACATCCAAGGTCATGGTCACATTGATTTCAAAGGTCAAATTCACTGTCTGGGCCATAAGTACTGACTATGGCTAGCTCCATGAAATTAAAGGAATACATGTAGGATTGCAAGATGGTCTGTTGCAAACTACAATTAAGTCTGTACATTAAAGGTTAAGGTCACATTGAGGTCTTAGGTCAAATTCATTGTCCAGGCCATAACTTCTTACTCACTTAAGATATCTCAATGCAATGTGAGGGATATACATGTATGTATGATGGCAGGACAGAGTACTACAAACACTAATTGGGTCCATATCCCCAAGGTCAAAGTTATATTCAGGTCAATGGTCAAATTCATTGTTGGGGTTCATAACTTTAGCTTGCTGAAGATAACCCAATTAAACTTAAGGGAGTATGTAGGATGGCAAGGCGGTGTGTGGCACACACAGTTGGGTACATTGGCCCAAGGTCAAAGTCCAATTGAGGTCAACAATCAAATTCATTGTCTTGGCCATCATTTCTGAATCTCGGAAGATCACTATAAAACATGAATTTTTAGAATTAAATGTAGGATGGCAAAACAGTGTGTCGCAAACCATAATTGGGTCTGCAGCCCAAAGTCATGATCACATGAAGTTCAAATGATTAATACATTTGCTGGGCCATAACACTTCTGACTTGCTGAAGATAGCTCAATGTTTGATTTTACCACTTTGAGTCTGTACACCCAAGATCTAGATCACAGCGAGGTCACATTTTATTTCAGTCTCAGTGACCTTTTCAGGGAGCATAATCCATCAATTTTACTGATTTTCTTGTTAAAAAAAAATTAAATAGAATAAATTGTGTCATAATATGTCTGTAGATAATTTGTTGAAGTAATGTATCTCTTCCTTTTGTAAGGATTAATTGTTAATAAAGTTTGCTTCTAAGACTTAATCCTTAAGGATACAATTGCTCTGCCCAGCAGAATATTGTTGTCGCATTTTATGACTTCTTCGGTTATTGATGTTCAAGGCTCAATCGATAAATTCCGGAATCTGACTGAAGAACCAGGTGAGAGATACAGGTGTGATGAATGTACATATCGTAATCCTACCTTCCCTGATTTAGCATATTATTCAGGTTAGATACGTTGATCTGTTGGCGTTAATCATTTGTGTTATGTCTCCGTAATTCGAACGCTTAAAAGACAGATAGTTTTCGAGGTACAATCAAAACGTACAGATGATTATACCTCACTCACCGCTAGGTGTCGCTAGGATAGCAAGAGGGTATAAATAGGCAGAATCCAGCGACAATCGGGCCAGTTCTGTTCTAATCTCGGCGTGTGTACAGTAGGGACAGATCGCAAGTATCTAATGTATGCGAGACCGGCTTTGTGTTGGAAAGATAGAAGTGACTGAATAAGTCTTGCCTTGATCCACTCACTGCATGGAAGATATGTTACATGTAAATAAACGATTGAGTGCTGTAGCGAGATACCGTTAGACAGAAGGTGTCACGGGCATAGGCTGTGCAGTGCTAGTCGTGACTAGGTATAGTCGTTGGTGCTAGTCGTGACTAGGGGTAGTCGCGACCAGGCTAGTCGTGACTAGGTATATTCGTTAGGGCTAGTCGTGACTAGCGATAGTCGTGGTCATTAGAGAGTGCCGTAGCTGTATACTAGTATAAGGCTGTCGTGATCGGCGCGACTAGGTCATATAGCTTGGGTAGCTGACTAGCTGTATACTATAGTGACTAGGGCTAGCCGCGACTAGGGAGTCGAGTGTGTACTGCCTGGATTGTACGGTAGTGTGTGTAGTGTGTTATAGTGATGCAAAACAGATAGCTTTGGTATTAGTTCTATAGTCGTGCAGTAATTATTCTGTTTATATCATGTATTAAGCATTAGGTAATAGGTATGCTGGTTACAAGGTAGTAACACATATTTGTATATATTTGCAACTGTAGTATAGTTATAATTAAGCTTACAGCACAGGGATCCTTAGAAGTGACTAGGGTACGGACCCCGGGACGCGTACGTTACACAGGCCTTCTGCACTTCATGTTCAAGATCTGGGATGAAGCATCAAGTTTTAGTTCTCCTTATAATTCGTATGGCTTTCTCATAATAATGGTAAGGAGTTTAAAGGTAGGAGGCTAAAAAGATAGGGGCTAACAGGTAGGAGTTAATGGAGAGGAGTTTCAGTAGGGGGCTAATGGATGGGGCAACAATGGTTAATAGCTATTTAATTATTTAAAGGCCTATGGTTAGGTGGCTAGAAGTAGCAGGGCCAATATTAAAAGGTTTCAGGTAGGGGTTAAAAGTAGGGGTAAACAGATAGAGGCTAACAGGTGCATTTGTAGGAAGCCCATCGTTATGATCAAATGTTAAGGTGTAGGGGATTAAAGATTAAAAGGCCTATGTGTAGGTAGATTAGGAGTGTTTGTTAATTTAGGGTTTAATGACCTTGCAACAGCCAAGGTCATAATATGACTAGTGCCTGGGGAGACACCGCCACAAAGAGATAGTAGGGTGCAGGGTGCCCAGCATAAGTCACCGTTTACGATACACATGTAGTGGGATACTGCAGGTACACCTGTATAATTTAACATATTCTTGGTTTCTTTAACTTACCCTTAACATGTACAGAGGACAAGGAAGACCCATTCCAATTCTGCAGGATAGGGGTAGGGAGGGCACATAACTCGCCTCTAATCACCATGCAGTGGGAACCTGCACGGGTTGGNGGGGGAATGTAGGGGGCATAGGTTAGGTACCATAGGTTGTTAATGCTGGGAGGAGGGGTCAACAACTTGACAGTAAGAACATTAATGAGTAATTAAAGGGAGGGATAATGGGTACAAGGGCTCATATATTAGGTGACGGCTAATGGGAATGTGGCTATTAGGTAGAGGATTCATGTTTAGGAGGCAATATGATACAAATTAATGGATAGTGCCAACATTTAAAGGGCTAACAGGGTAGCTGATGGGAATGGGCTAACTGGTAGGAGAAAGACAAAAAAAAGGAAGGGCTTAATGGGTAGGAGCGAGGAGAGGGTGAATGGGTCTTAATGTA